TCTGCAACAAAAATAAATTGGCTCAGGTCACTCAATTTGATATAATATAATGATTAATCTTTTATAATATTAGAGCACGAATTGTTTCGCTGCCCAGTTTCAACTATCCAACGATTAAACATAACAATATAATAAATGTCCTTACTAATTAGTGATATATACTGGTGATACAGGCGATTTGTCCCAATAATGCCATGACTTTTGTCGTAATTATCTCTGTAATATGTAATAATTATAATGAGTTACGGCATTTTTTCCGTAAATTTATTATGTTATGACAAGCTACGGAAAAGTTATGACAAGTTACGACAATTCACTTGCACCTCTAATACTGTACATACGGTATTAATTAAAATCAGAAGCTTTAAATCTCCCGTTTTTTTAATGATAAAATAAGTTTATTAGTCTCAAATTTCAACAATGTCTATATAGCTCCAATCTCGCTTCTGCAAAGCATCTATTTCAAACCTAATTGCTTTTTTTTTTTTACACAGTAATGTTACACACGAACTGCCTCTTATAAGTTCGAGATAAATAATTATTTATTTTAACGACGGATATTGTTTGCGATTGGTGACAAAAATCGAAAATAAACCGTGTTTGTTGCAGTTACACACTAAGAGGAGTTAAGGTGATTTACATTTACAAAAGAGGTAAAAGCTAAATGTGATAAAGTAGTCGTAATAATATGTGTGTAAGTCAATATGATAGAGATAAACTATCGATTCTTGGGATATAAGGGCTATTTATGCATTCTACTATTTAGGATCATTGACTATTAAATTTACTAGTACACTATATCTATTTTATCTAATATTTTACACGATATAATTAAGATTCTTGGCATCCTTGGCATGCGTGATCTCAGCACGACATTACGGTTAAGTAGATGTGTTATGAAATGTGAATACGTAATCATGACAATCAAGTCTTGTGACTTATCCGTATTATTGGAACTTTGAACGACTTTCAGGTCTAACAGTAATATTTTTGCAAATCTTTTTTATGGTTTCATTCGGATTCTTTCAAGCCAAGTTCTAAATTTTATTTTATATCGCAACCTCGATTTCTTTTAAAACTCAGTTATACGTTGTAAAAGGGTAAATCGTGATTTGGAATGAATTTTTTCGCGCATAGTAGATCAGATACATATTAGGTTTAGAAGATTTGGCGCATTTTGAAGCCATGTACATTTTGTACATAGTAGCCATGTAAATTTTGTACATAGAAGCCATATACAATTTGTACATAGACGCCATTTACAATTTGTACATAGATGCCATGAACATCAATGAAAACCCATAGAAAACTTGTTAGTTAGCGTTCATAGCCCAGTTGTAATAACAAGCGGTCTAAAAGTATAAAAGACCCACCCTTTTTGCTTTAATAAAAGATAGTGAAGTTAGAGTTGGACCAGGTCTTCCACGCCTCTTTCGTGCCTACCACCATTAGGTTTCAGTAGAGTTTAGTAGTTTAGAGTGATTGTTTAGATTAGTCTTGGGTGTTAGTTAATATCCGTATTGCACGTATTTTGTGATTCCGGATCGATTCCCACCTTTACAGCGTACATCGGTTTACATCATAACTTTATTAATAATTTATTTCTATAGCACTTTGCCCGCTTTATTCATCTTTGTTTCAAGCTTCATACAATATCGTTAAAAGTTAATTAGTTGGTTCAACATCAATATTTTAAATTTAGGCGCTGCGGAAAGAGAAAATTTAAACAAACGCAATATATGCCACAAAAGTATTTGATTAATTTTATTGGCCAACTTTAATCACATGGTCACTGAAGATTATTCTATGTTGTAATTGGCTTTTTTTTTATTTTGAGCGATAGAGAAATGAGTTAACCAAATATTCAGCTTTAAATGGCCTCATATTCTCTCATTATATTATGATTGCATTTTTTCATGCAATACGTACTATCTTAAATTTGTTTTCTTTTTAGACAAGAAGCCTCCAGATTATTTGATAAAATAGAATCTCTTAAACGACAATCATCCATAAAAAAATGGATTGGAAGTTATGGTTTAGATTCAGATACTGATGAAATTTTGATGAAAATCTTGAAAACTATTTAAAAGAAGCGATGAATTATATATATGAAACGTTAAACATGGCGAATAGTTTAAAGGATACAATTTATTAAAATATGTTATTTAACATTAATACTGTATTGTCGCACATGGGCGATATTTAAAATAATGGCCCGAATTAAGCTTAATTTAGGCCAAAATTTGAAATTACCCCCTGTGCATTATTTCGCGACAATACGGTATTTTGATAAAGAATGTCCTCTAACATCCGAATGTAATTTTTGTTCAAAACTATTATTACTCAATTTAGCTATTCTTATATGTTTTTACATTAACTACTGTATAACTTGAACCGAATAAGAATCTTAACTGATTAACTGAACCGGTCTAAACCTGTAAAATCAGTTTTACCAAATTATTTCGGTTAGTCGGTTAGTTCAGTTGACTCAGGTCAACCGAATTAACCGAGTTAGCCGGATCTGCCGGGTTAGTTGAGTTATAGCTACTATAGCTATGATTTTTCAGCCGATTTGATAAAGTTTATTATTTCGGCATAGTATTTTTTTTTTTAACCTGCTGCTCTCGGGATGCCATAAGGCGTTTTATTAATTTATATGACTGACTAAAAGTGTGTAAGAATACATCAGAATTTCATTCTAGGTTCAGAATACTGAACTTGATCTTATATAAACCTCTTCTACCATTTACCTTAACCCTAATTCATTGATAGCTACCTAAGATCATGTAAGAATTTCCGAGCCTTCTCGTTTTGGTTCTGATTTCTTTATTAATACGGTTACGTACGTTGAAAAAGGTGTGACTAACTGTTTTAAATTAGTGGGTTAGTGGTGCCATCGGCAGTCATGTGATGATCGTCATGCATAATCGGATTTCATTGGTCAAAATTTTTTTATATAAAATGATATCGATAATCGAATTTCGTTAATAATTAAACGTAGATTATATTATTCATGTAAAATAAATTCATACTATTCTCGCTTAATCACAACTATACCATCAGGTATACTCTACTTTAAAAGTTAAAGTTTGTGCACAATTATTCGGTTGCGCACGAATATAGCTTTATTTTTTTTTAAAACAAGACGAGTAAAATTTTAAAGTATAACCGTTGTGTTAAATTCTATTCATATATAAATATATTTTTTGAAGTATATTTATACTCTTTAATTTAACCAAAACGCTAGTTTTCGATTTTTGGGTGGTCTCCAAGTTGGCTGT